AGGATCATCGCTGTCCCCTCACGGCCGCCGCCACCTCCGCGGGGCCGCCATTTCCCCCGCGCTGCAAGACCCCGTCCCTCAGAGCCGCCATTTTCCCCTCAGGGTCGTCCTTCCGCGCTCAGGGCCGTCATGTCTCCCTCGGGGCCGCCATTTCCCTCTCACAGCAAGACCCCTTCCCTCAGACCTGCCATTTTCCTCTCGGAGTCGTTCTTCCTCCCTCAGACCTGCCATTTTCCTCTCGGAGTCGTTCTTCCTCCCTCATGGCCGCCATTCCCCCCTGAGGGCATCAGTTCTCCCTCGGGGTCGCCATTTCCCCCTCACAGCAAGACCCTCAGGGCACCCATTTCCCCCTCAGGGCCGTCTCTCCTCCCTCGGGACCGTCACTGCCCTTCCAGGGCCATCATTTCCCCCTCAGGGCCACCCTTTCCCCCTGAGAGTCACCATTTCTCTATCACAGCAAGACCCCCTCCCTCAGAACCACCATTTCCCCCTGAGTGTCACCATTCCCCCACCACGAGGGCCATTCCCGCCCCCGAGGTGGACACTGCTGGAAACAGGAGCGTTTTGAGCATTTCTAAACACCAGTCTTGTTCCTCCACAGACACTCCAGGCTGACCAGGGCTCTGTCACTGCCCTGCACCACCACTCTGCTCCCAGATTTCTCTCAGGGAAGGGCTCAAGCTGCCCAGACACACAGGACTTTAAAAAGGGCATTTTTGTTAAAAATGGGTCACCCAAGCTCACACCAGATGTCACATCAGCCACATGGCACCCAAACAAATTCCCGAGGATGCCACTTGGTTCTACATCCAGCAATTCCCTCATCTATCTGTGCAACACGTCATTATTGCAGCGCTGTAATTAGCAATGCCAAAAATAACAGCACTTCCACCCAGGCTCTATTTTTGTATCTATTCATTATTCCTACCTGCACTAAAGCATTCCATTTAGGGAGGCCTTAAAAAGCATTACTTTCTAAGTATTTTCAGCTTGAATTCATTTAAACTTTCACCTGACTACATTTTTCTCAGCAAAGATTCCACACACTCTTGAGCTTTCGTTATATTTAATATCCTTCTGGGGCTCTTATTACTGGGAAATGATGTGTAAGGAGTCCTCAGGGCTCATGAGTGAGCACCTCACTTACCACCTCACCAAATTCCAATTTTATCCATTAAAAAAAGGAGAGAAAAAGGCAGAACAAAGCAATCAACTGTTAAGACAAGAAAATCGGGCAGGAGCAGCTGAGACCATCAGAAACTCACTGCCCTCACCCCTCATTCTGCCATACCCTGGTCTGAAACAGTGTCAGCCTCTCCCAAGATAAATCCTACTAATTAGTGAGCTGCCACATTTTTGGAATTTAACCAAAAACAAGACCTCGTTTTCCATGAAGATCAGGCATCGATCTGCTTGGAGCCCCAACCACCACAGCACTGGTGTGTTCTGTGCTCTGAACTAGGCTGTGCACCAGTAAGTTTCTTGCCAAAAAAACATTCTTATGTTTCCCACGAAAGTACCACAGAGATTTGGTTTGTTTTTTTTTCCACATTGCAGTATTTTATTCTGGCTTAACTGACTTGTTCAATTGACCCCATGTAAAAACAGCACCACCACTGCTCTGGGCTCTTCATCTCCCCACTGCACTCAGGGTCTGTCTGTCCTTCTCGGTCTTCTCTGATGCCTTTCAGTGCTGAAATGAAATAAAAGAGAATTGGAAGGGGGATAAAGATATGGGGACCCCCAAAAGAGGGTTAACTGGACCACTCGGAGCACAAGGCTGTGAAACAGGGACACACCAAAGCTTTTGGGTCAGGAAAAGCTCGGGGGGCAAGGGGTGGACAGAAGGGACGTTACCTGGTTGGCAAACTCAGTCTGGCACCCCTGGAACGCAGCTCTGCTCCCTCAGGATCCGCTCAGGCTCCGGGCCGTGCCCCTGGTCCCTTCAGCCTGCCAAAGCAGAGAGGCATTAACAGGAACGCCGGGCAGAGGCTGCACGTCCCCCACCTCCCCACACAGCTCACAGCGTACGAGGGTCTCACAAGCCATCGCTGAACCCATCACACCACAAAGCACAGTCTGGGAAAACTGTTCCGGGCCGGCTGCTGCCCGTGCTCAGCCAGCCCATGGATTGGATCCCTAAGCAGAGAGTTAACACTTGGACATGGCTGCTTAGGAAGTGTGGGCCATGGGAAAAAGTTAATGGCAACAAGTAGGATGGCAAAGAAAGCTACAATTAAAGTGAGCAACTTAATGAAGTCTAGGAAGAGTCTCAATAGATGAACACATATCGAGTCAGGGAGTTCGTTCCCATCTTGCTTCCGTACCTACAGCAAGACACGGCTGCATGCCCAACTCTGATCTGTGGAACCCAAGGTGTGCCACAAGCCAAAGGTTGCATACGGCATGGGTTAAACGTTTTTCCAGCAGCTGACCAAAATTGTCAAAAGGAATATTTCACAGGTACATTAGACTTTCAAATGAGCTCTCAACAAGAGGAAGGATGCGGACATGAGCAAAAGGAGTTACCTCGAATTACAGGACTATTTCCACATATGAACTAGCCAAGAGAGCAGCTCTCGTCTCAGAGGTTTCTGTTGGAGGCACAACACTTCTTTTCTCCAAGGACACTGCAGTTTCCATTTGCTAGCAAAGAATTCTTAGAACTTGTAAGCAATGACACAGCTACCTAAGCCCGGCATTCCCCTACATCGCACACGCGCTCGGCACGCAGGGAACAGCCCAGGGACTACAGCACTGGCTCTTCTCTACAGCTTCCCAGTGTAGGCTACAGCAGGTTTTGAGCAAACATCCATTAGGCCTTCCTGACATTCCAGCTGCGCTTTGCTCCTAACACACCCTCAGGTTTGTAGTTCCAGCCTCTAGACAAGTTGGACCGTTTTATGTGAAATTTGTTGGCCAATTCACATGTCAAGACCGATTTTAGGATTAAATTCCAGCACTTGGTCAATCGTCTGGCTGGCTCTGCCACTATCCCTAATCTTCTCCTCTCGCTCCCAGATTGTTCTTCGTCTCCAAGGGTTGTTTTGTGCAATGAAATGTAAATGTCAGGAGCAGAGTTCATTTCAGACGGTCTTTTAATAGGCTTCGTAAAGCCAAAGAAAACTGTATACAGGAATCCTTTACCACTTCAAATACAACAGCAATGGAATATGCATATTTCTTCCAGTAAAAAAGGACAATATAAATAAACATTTTCAAGAACCTCTTTATGGTAAGTTTGCAAGTCTAGTTCTGGGTCATTTACATCGTTACAACAGTAAAAATACCGTTATGCGGGTTGAACATACAAGCACGTTTCTCTTTAGATATATCAAGGTGGTTTGCCTTCCAACGGAACCCAGGCCGCATTCCTACCTTGCTACACTAAAGGAATGTTACAAAAGACGAAGGTAATGCACTTGAAAAAAAAAAAAATAGTCCACAGCTTGTTCAGCTTCCAGTGAACATCGGTTCAAAGTCCTTTCTAGCTCAAAAGAAACTGAATTGGGGCCCCAACTTTAAAAAAAAAAAAAAAAAGTAACACCTTGGCTCATTCATGGAGGATAAAATAAAATCTGAAGTGCTTTCAAAAAAGATTAAAACCACTTGAAAGCAGAGCTTTCTCCAAGACAGTCTAATCAGACCATCTCATTTCAGAAGCTGCCAGGCTGTGTTTGACAAGATCAGAACTGATAATACTACAAAAGTGAAAATACAAGTAGATGTACTACACAATAACCATTTCAGCGAAGCTCCAAAAATCTTTATAAATACAGCCATTGGAAGGACGATCTTGAGTCAGGAAGGATTTTTACTCGTTGTGTGTAGCTGAGGACAAGAAGCAGGCACAATTGTAAAGGCACTGAAGCAAAGACAAGTTCCAGCATTTTACTCCCTTGCATTATTCCGAGGCTACTGCTACTTGGCTACTGTGAGATCCCCCACCCGCGGGTCAGAGCGTAAGGGCAGCCAGAACAA